GCAGGTATTCATATATTCGTGTTCACAGACTGTAAAAACAATCGATTTCAAAAGAAAAAATTAATTGGGCAGAACACGAATATATGAATATCTGCCTCCCCCCCCCCCAATTATCGATATCCCGGCGCCTCTGTCTGTACTGTGAAATATCAGACCTCTGTTTTTTGCAGACTAAAAAAACTCGCTCTGATACTTCACAGTACAGACCTCACGCTCGGTCAATAAGCCGTTATAATTATATAGATAGTATGAAACAAACCGGCTCCGAAGAAAAGTTCCATCTTGAATGTGAAGATTTGAGTAACTGGATGAAACTTTTATTTGGTGTTCGTATTATATATATTATTATTATTTAAAAAACTCATTAATAATTCATAAAGAAAAGACAAAAGGAAATCACGTGACTTGCACGTCGGTGGTTTTATATCTGATAAAAAATCATGTAAACTTCAGCTTTGATTTTCTCGACTTAGACAACGTTTATGTTTAAAATTACTTCGCTAATAAACTCATCAGATGGGTCGTTTTTTAAGCCATTTAAAACACTCGTAGTCCGTACTTTATCAGATATAAAACTCTCGGCTGTCGCCTTGCACTCCTGCTCGTGTTTTAAATAGTACATAAGGTATAGTGCTTTATAGAGATTTCGAGCACTGATAAAACTGATAATCTCACATGTGAGATTATTTATGATAATTTCACAAGTGAAAATTATCGCTTTTCAATTATCGCTTTTCTGTAAAAATTATCGCTTTTCAAAGACTGTCCTTTATATAATAAACAGAAAAATACATGGATGCTTGGAAATACCAGATTTATTTTTCGTGTTAAAACACTCCTGCGAGTTTATTAAACGGCTTCAAACACGACAACAAATTCAATAGATGTACACATGTACTGCCTTATTAGTACTCTGTATATAAAAAATACTAATGAGGACATGACTACAATAGATACAGCCTTATTATAAGTATTCTTTATATAAAGAATACTAATTAGGAGTGTTTTATCAGGTTTAAAGCCACTGCACGTGACATATTATGGTTGCATGCATGACATGATTTGCCAATAAGCTTATGAATTATTAATGAGTATTTGAATCTCTATTTATTTATACGATGAAAGTTCACTTGTGCACAATTTATATATAATATACCTCAACCCTTGAACACCTCGTACTTAAGTTTAATTCTTTGAAACGTTCATATGTCCTTGAGAGACGCTCTGGATTCTCTGGATGTTCTCTAAAATTATTAATATGTGCCTTTATTCAAATTTTACTGTAACAATAGGCTGTGTACAGCGTGCATATGTTTACTGCAAAACTATTTTAAAAATTTTCTTAAGGGTATTGTAATCCGTTGATCTTAATGACTAGTTGTCATGTGGAGGACAACTGCCGAAGGAGTAAGGTATTGTGTCACAACACAATGGGTAAAAGCTGTTTCGTCTTTTAAATATGTAATAAAACAATATTATTGCGTAATTGCATTATTATTGCATTAGTGTTATCAATCTCAGTCTTTGTTGATAACACAAACTTCGGCTTGATAATTTCTTCATATCATGCTCAACCTCAATCAATAGCTGTTAAATATTTTTATTATTGGAGATCGACAAATGAAACCCAATTTTGGCCATCATTTGGGAAGACAAGGTTGTTGTTAAAAAGAGTAACATTGAACTTAAGGATGAATGAAGGGAGAAACATAACTGGTCACGTGAAAAAAATATAGTTGCTGTTTAATACAGGTAGATAAGACAAGTCCATAAGAAAACTTTTCAATGTCCAAAATAAACAAATAGTGAAAATAAATTATAATATATTTAATGTAGTATATATATAACGCTAAATTTCTTACTCAAATACATTGCGATGCTTTAACATGGCATCATCATAACTATAACACGTCCTAAAAATAATAAGAGTTTTATGCAGTTACTAAAACACGGAACGAGATATTTATACAAAAAGAGATTAATAAACATCGATCAAGAAACCCTTTTTAGTGAAACAGGAGACCTGTATAGCTACATGTATATAGGGTAGCCTTATATATGGTTATGTCCATGATTTGATATCAATTGATTGTTCCTTATTATAATTATTCCCCGCGGTCATACCTTAACCTACGTTTTTGACTATGAGGAATCGACTTATGATCTATGATGTGTAGGGTATAGGGTAGTACAAACCTACGACATGTCACACATTGTTTCTCTTCAACCTGCACGAAAATAAAATACATTAAAAAATAAATTTACTTGTTTTGGTCGTAATATTTAATAACCCATTGAGATGCATGGTGCTCCAATGCACTCTACTTATTTCACCCTGTCTTAATTGTGCCAGAAGATTTTACTTTTCAAGGGGAAAGAGCTGGAGCTCAATGGGTTAATAAAACTTTTGGACCAAAAATCTATGGAGTTCTATATAGTCACTATTGCACCTTTGAAAACTACTGGTGGTTCAAAAAGTAATTTAATTACATGTATCTTAGGTTAGGTACTGCACTGCTGACTTCCAAAAACAACATTTAGTTAGGAGGATATTGAATAGTTATTGAGGTTTTCGATTAATTCAGTAATATCTTCAAGGTAGTGCTCAAGCTTGTTGATTTCTATCGAGATTTCCTTCTCAAACTGTTGTACTTCTTCCAGCGTAATGTCGGGTTGTTCGTCCTCGTCGCTCATTGTCTATATTATATCCTTGTTTAAAGCGTTTACTATTGTACTGATGAGATTTTAGATCGATTAAATGACCTTGTTTAAAAACGCAAGAACTTAATATCGAAAAGTCTCATACTCAGAGATCAGTAAGGCAGTGGAAAAAAGATGTGAAGTCTAACCTATTGTTTGAACAAAAAGGGAGATTAGCCAAAGAGTTGGAAGAGAGTGAAAAGCAATTCGAAACCAAAAAATTAGAGCTAAAATTTGCAAAAGAAGAGCAACTTATAGACATGAAACACAACAACAAGAAAGAGAACTTTGGGAAGAAAGATTACACACAGAGCAAAAGATGACTGACAAACAATATCGATGAAGAAAAGTTTGGTTACCTTTTGGAAATGAAACTTTCCCACAAGGTAAGAGACAAAATTTCCAATCTGAAGCCTAGTTCTGATGGATATAAGAAAGCATGGGAGAAAGTCAAAGGGGTCAACTATGAGAAAGTACAAACATTTTACGAACAGCTCAGCAAAAATTTTGATGTCTTAGAGACCCTCGGAGAGAGTGGCATGTTAAAGGGGTTTGTTTTAACTACATTGAACAAACTCCCTCAAGTTAAAACTGACTTAGTGAGATCTGATGACAATTGGGGAGTAGGGAGGATTTGATAAAAAAGCTTACAAAGTGGCTGAAACGAAATAGGAGTGAGATATCCCCCCAAAAAAAAAGCATGATGACAAGAAAGATCGAAAGAAGAGAAATTGGTACACACGAAAGAGAATGGATGGAGAGCAGAAATAAAGAGCGAAACCCAATTGTCTTCATGATGAAGAAATTATGCTTCAACTGTGGTCGACCGGGCCATAGAGAGAGAGAGAATGTCGCAGTTGAGGCCGTTATAAGTGTAAAGCTAGACACCATACAAGCCTGTGTGATCATCAGTCTTTTCCGGGTATATCCCAAGTGAGGAAAAATCATTGCCAGCCATCATTCCACTGGAAGTACAAGGTGTTGTCTTTTGGACATACCTATAGACACTAGATCCGGTAGGAACTTTATATCAAACGATGCAGTGAAGAAATTGAAGTTAAGCCCTATCCGCCATGAATCTCGTCAAATTGTTACAGTAAACGCTGTTAAGAAGCAATCCTTACCCTTGTACACTCAACTCTCTGGAAAGTCAAGCAAGAGAAAAGGTTGAAATTATTAGAACTAAGATGCCAGATTTTACAGTCGTCAAGAGGCCAACCGTAAAAGAATTGAAAGAAAAGTATGAACATGCGGAGAACAAGAAATTCTACATGACAGCGAACGACGAGTACCCTATCCATCTAAAATAAGAACAGAAGAAGTGTTTTTAAACAAGGCAACCTTTTAAAAAAGGCAACCCAAAGATCCAATTGTTGAGGAGACAAGGTTTCGATGGGTTATCCACGGCTGAGAAGATAGTGAAGGAACAGTTAGCCACAGGCATCATTGAGAAAGCACCACAAACACCCACTGGAGAGCGTACCTTCTATATGCCACACAAACCAGTAATCAGAGAGTATGCGACCACCACCAAAGTTAGGATGGTTTTTGACGCAAGCGCAAAGCCAAACCCACTAGCGAACAGTATAAATGACTGCATGTACACAGGACCACCACGGATCCGAGTTCGCATGTCAACACACATTCAGAAAGCATTCCTGCAAATAGGCATCCAAGAGGGAAATAGAGATGCTTTCCTTTTTCCTGTTCAATATCAACGGCATGGAACAACATCTCCGGTTTGCCGTTCGAACAACATCTTCGGAGTACCGTTCGGTGTCGAAGCAAGTCCTTTCATGTTGGGAAACGAACAACAACCGTTATAGATCCTCGAGTTACACGAGACTGTCAAAGAATTAAAGGAGAACACTTATGTAAACAATTTGATGAAGAGTGGTAACAACTTAGAGGAATTACAAAAGTTTAAGTTAGAAGCCAGTGAAGTACTAGAGAATGCAAAATCCCCCATCCATAAATGGGAATCCAACCTGCCCGAGTTAGAAAGTGAAGACGTGGCGGACCCAAAAGATACCCTCCAATCCCTACTGGATGACCAACCAGTAACAAAGCGAAAAATGCTTAGCCGACTTGGAGGTATTTACGACCAACTCGGTCTGATTTCACCTACTGTTGTCAAAAGGAAACGGTTATACAGGGAAGCGTGTCAGCCGATCAAGGAGTGGAACACCGAAGTGCTAAAACCGCTTACGAAGGAATGGCTGAAATGGAACAGACAACTTGGAACTGTCCGAGTACCAAGAAGTATCAAAGGGCGTGAGAAAGATAAAAGCTGTGCATCTTCATGTATTTGCAGATGTGAGTAATACCGCATATTCAGCCGCTACCATCACTGTGGTGGAAGGTAACACTGTAGGGGTAAAGGGACTGCTGACATCCTAGCCTGCGTGGCAGGCTCCTGCCACGCAGGCTACTGACATCCAAGTCTACCAACTGAGGTTATATATTTATGGGTTTGCGGGAATGGTTCCATATCCCCTGGATGTTGCATGCCCAGCTAAGGCTGCTAGAGGAGTAGAGGACCCATGCAAGCTTGCTTATATGCCTTATATACTGTAAAAAGAATAAAGACAATTATAGTGTGTATGGTCTTACATTTTGATGCTCCATCCCGTTGTAAATGAACAGAAAAACACGAGGAAAAATAGTAATCTGAAAACGTCTTTTGAGGATCAAGTATAAATTTTTAACATCTTATTATCAGACTTACATGAAGTTCTCCCAAGACTCCCAAGATGTGAATTTGACACCAGAAGTCATCGTTTTCCTATTTTGACTTGTGTAAC